CATAAGGCTAATATATTTATATATATATTTTTATAAACATTTTTATATATTTTTTTTTACATATATAAAAAAAATGAACGGACAACAAAGATTATTGTTCGCTTAATCAAGTTAGGAATTTTTCCAGGGAGACTGATTCTACCACGATTGGCATAGAACTGTGTAAGATTCCGCAGATTTCGCTACATTGACCGTAGAATGTACCTTCTCTGTTAATAAGTACAGATACTTGGTTCAGTCTTCCTGGATAAGCGTCACATTTTATACCTAAGGCAGGCACAGCAAAGGAATGAATGACATCGGCAGCAGTTATAATAAATCTAACATGAGTTAACTCTGGTACGATTACTCTGTTATCTACCTCTAACATTCTTAAAGCACCATCTTCTAAATCAGATTCTGGTACTAGGTACGAATCAAATTCTATGAATTCATCGTCTTGATCTAGGAAATCCGGGTATTGGTAACTTCAATATCATTGGTGCAGGGTAAAATTACCCTGATCGACTGTACATTAAGCATCAGATATACTGACACCCACAAGTGACCCAGTCTGTTGCAATAAATAAAAAGAAATAAACTATTTACTGACAGTCTTGTATTATTATCTGTCACCGACCAGTCGGTGTGATATTGAATGTGATAATAATATTTTAACTGTTTTCACTCGTGTCGCCAGAGAAAAGACTTAATCTTTTCTCTAAGAATTCTGTCGAAAACTTAGAAATAAATCCACTGTTTATCTCACGACTATCGCATATATGTGAAAGGGTTAGAAGAACTTTAATATTATAAAGAATTAACTAAAGTATATACTTTCTATAGTCCTAATTTATAGTGCATAGATGTATGTAAATAAGGTAAAATTAGCTCCCTTAACTTAGGGACTGAGCTTCCTTTAATATAAATATTACAATTACCCGAAGGCTTTAGTGTTTGAATAGTACAATCTAAACCAAATTTACTTTGAAGAACTTTGACTAAAAATTCTACTTCTTTTAAATTGAAACTATTTGTAGCTATTCTTACTCCAGGTTTAGCTCAACCTCCGTCATCTGAAATTCAGATAGCTAATGCTAAGGGTGTTATGTATTTAACTAAATCTACGTTAATATATTTTACTCCTTTCTTGTAAAACATTTTATGGATTCAATTAAAACTTCTA